CATCAAGAAACTAGAAAAAGAAGAATAAACTAAGCCCAAAGTTAGCAGAAGAAAAGAAATAACAAAGATGAGAGAAGAAAGAATAGAAAAAAAATAGTGTTGGTTTTCTGAAAAGATAAACAAAATTGACAAGTCCTTAGCTAGACTAAGCATAAAAGAAAATTCAAAATCAGAAGCGAAAGAGCAGACATTACAACAGATGCCACAGAAATAAAAAGGATCACAGATACTATTACAAATAATTAGACATCAACAAATTGGATAACCTAGAAGAAATGGGTAAATTTTTAGAAACATACAACTTGTAAAAACTGAATCAAGAAGAAATAGCTTGAGTAGATCAAGAACAAATAAGGAGATTAAGTCAGTAATCAAATACCTCCCAACTAAGAAAAGCCCAGGACCAAGTGACTTCACAGGTTAATTCTACCAAACATTCAAGGAAGGACTGATTAATCCCAGTCCTTCTTAAACTGTTCCAAAAATAGAAGAGGGAACACTTCCTAACTCACTTTATGAGGCCAGCCCAACCCTGATACCAAAGCCAAAGATACCACAAGAAAAGACAACTATAGACCAATATCCTTGACGAATATAGGTACAAAAATTTTCAATAAAATACCAGCAAACTAATTCAACTGCGTATTAAAGTGCTTAAACACAATGACCAAGTGGGATTTATCTCTGCAATTCAAAAATAGTTTAAAATACGCAAATCAATCAGTGGATTATACAGCACTAACAGAGTGAAACATAAAAAACACAGTCATCTCAATAGATGCAGAAAAACCATTTGACAAAATTCACCATGCATTTATGATAAAAACTGGCAACAAAATATGAAGGAACTTAACCTCAACACGATGAAGGCTATGTATGAAAAGCCCATGGGTAACATTATACTTAATGAGAAAAACTGAAAGCTTTTACTCTAAGGTCTCGAATAAGGGAAGGACTTCCACTCTTGCCACTTCTATTCAACATAGCACTAGAAGTCCTAGCCAGATCAATTAGACAAGAAAAAGAAATAAAAGGCATACAAATCAGAAAGAGGTAAAATTATCTTTGTTTGCAGATGATCGTATATATAGAAAACCCTAAACACCCAACAAAAAAGAACTGTTAACAGTAAATGAATTCAGTATAGTCGCAGGATACAAAATCAACATACAAAAACCAGTGACAGGCCGGGCGCGGTGGCTCACGCCTGTAATCCTAGCTCTCTGGGAGGCCAAGGCAGGCGGATTGTTTGAGCTCAGGAGTTCGAAACCAGCCTGAGCAAGAGCGAGACCCCGTCTCTACTGAAAATAGAAAGAAATTAATTGGACAACTA